GCCGGCTGCCCGTTTCTTCCGCCCATCTGCAACAGGAGGGCTATCAAAACAGCCCATTCAAAATGACCGAAGCCGCCTTGAGAAATAGCGCCGCCAAAACCTCGTTGTTGGAGCCATATCCTACCCAAGATGCACGCGTCTGGAAAGGCCGGGCATTCGTTCTTTGCGAAAGTCAGTACTCTAAGGTACTGTATGAAGGTCCTCTCGGCGTTGAGAGTCGAGTTATAAAATGGCGAAGATGTGTTATTCCCCTTCCTTTTCTTCTCTTCCTTCTCCTGCGTCTCTCCCAGCCGCGTACAATTCGCCGACGGTGTAAGTTTTGACCAAGGAAAAAGGTTGTCGGGAGCGCATGGGATTAGCCGGATGCAATAGCCGTGCTTCTTGCTATCCTTCTTGCTAGACTTGGATATCGTCTTCTCGGTTCCGTCCGTCGTATCTTCATCGGTCGACGGCTTGAGAACCAACACTGGGAGAAGAGGGTTTTCATGTAGGTATTCGAAGCTCAACGTCATGGAATCACCCATCTCATGGCGAACATGTGCGGCGATGTAGGCAATGAAGTAGGCTCTCCGATAGAAATATCGCATGCTAAGATAATCTTTGTCTTGGAACAATGAAACAGGCATTTCGACAACCATATCAACACCCAGGGCGGATTGGGTCTTGACCATGGTCCTAGAGACGTAGCTGCCGACGACGTTGCACTGAGAGGGTTTTGCGTATGAAAGTTTGTAAGGGGAGTCCTTTCGTGGCTTGGGATCTGGGTAGGGCACGGTAATTCGATGCTGCCTTTCGAACTTTACTGTCGCCTCGGCAATCTTGTGCATTGAGTTGATTAGCGTCTAAGCCAGCAAAATTGCAGGAGGTGAGGCTCACAGGAAGAGGTGCATGCGGTTCGATGGAATCCACAATGGTTTTCAGCCGAAAGAGTGTTCCGTCCACATCTTTCAGCGTTTTGCTGTAATCAAGCTTGGCCTTCCTGAGCAGCTCATCGGTTTGAAGGACAAAGGTGCTGGCGGACGATACTAGAACAGCGTTGCGAGACTCGAAATCGATGAGGCCGTCATGCCGGAGGCTAGATCCGCCACGGTCAATCTTTCGACGTTTGACCCCCGACTCCATGGCTTCAAGCGGGCTGTTGGGCTTCTACGCGATGAGATGTGTATGAGATTTCGTCGGCGTTGGTTTGAGAAAAGTGATTTGCGGCAGCTCGCTGTAGATTCGAGCAACTCGATGGCGCGCCTTGGCTGGGCCAATGGGTGGCATGAAATTTTTCTAATTTTCTTTTTTTTTTATTTGAAGCTTGGTTGCGCTAGCTGCGGGGCGATAAGCTGATAAGCAGCTGTTGCTGCGGGCTGGCGCCATTTACTCAAGTACTTGGGCACCCGGGCTTCCAGCAGGACAGAGTCTTGGTACGGGGTCCGGAGTACATCACGGACACAAGTGGTCACCCGTAAAGCCACAGAAGAGTGATGAGTCTGGTTCAATATTGCTTTTCCATAGAACGATGGGTTATAGTCAAGAGCCCGGGTACGGAGCAGCGAGCAAATCAATAAGCAACAATCGACTTTGGAACAATAAATAAACTTTAGCATGGTAGGCACAAGCTCGGCCATCTCATTGCGCGCCTGAGTTTTTTGGGCATGTAGATTAATAGAGAGAGAGCACTTGTCTAGATCTGCACCGTCAAGAGCCGATAACCGGCGCGAAGCAAGTATTATTCCCGACAATTACCTTGTGTACTATGTAGGTAGGAAGGTAGTTCATCGTCGCTGGAGTGGTCAGCCGCCGCCGGAAGACGGTTTACCCTGACGTTTTCCGTACTCCGGAGAATAATTACGGACGACTCATGGCAGCCAAGGCCAAAATGGCGGCATCGGATCCGATGGGACAAGCCAAGCGATTTCTACGTTTCGACGGCGTGAGAATGGAGCACTCGGCCCAGTATTTCGCCAAATAAGTGAACGTACTAACCAGAATGGACCAAAGGCAGAGTTCGTGAGATTGAGCGTCGACAACTCATGGAAAGCCTTCAGCATCTCAAGGGGACACAACGTTTCGGAGGAGGAATTACCACCAGACAGTAGAAGCATGTCGGTAAGGTTGTGGGTTGGGCCAAATTCGGCTTGCCTTCGGAACCGATGCTTGTCTCCTTCCAAAAGCTTCATGTTCTCTCATACCCATCCGGACCCGCCCCCACAGCTCTCGATGGCCAACCTGCACCTGCCGCCGCCATGGGCCATTGGCGGCTGCGCGGAACGGAAACCGCTTACCAGGTTCCGAAAGGGAGAGCTCTTTGCCGACGCTGCACCCGAAGGGAAGAGTCGGCTCGGCCACTAGCGGCACAGTTCCCATCATTCGCGTGTTGCCGCCTCCAATTGATTCCTGCGGACCCTCGCGGCTCGAGAGCTTCATAAGCTGTTAACAAGACGCATCTGCGCACCCGCCCATCCCACACTCCGTTTTCCCGAGACCAGTTGCCGGTTTCCTCTGTGCTTGACCTTCTCCTCTGTTGCCGCCAGCTTTTGTTTCCGGTGTACCTTCTGTAATTCATCCATCGCTGCCATCTTTTATCCTTAGTCCATCTTTCCAAGGGAGCTGAAGTCGGTTGGCGGTGCGAGGCTCAAGTTTAGAAGCAGCACCCAAATTCCCCCATTGGCCAATCTTTCAAAATCGAGCTCTATAGGCCATCATCGCATCCGTGTGACGCTTGCTGTTGCATAGTATAAACGTCTCCAGCTTCAACGTATAAATAATCTCACAATGCCGTCCGCTGCTCTTCGCATGGCGACTCTCCGGGCCTTCGCTCGCCATGGCTGCAACGTACGTATTGCCTAGGCTCATTCACCGCTGCGGCGTCCTTGACTCCCTTGGGCTAACACAAACCGCCATCAGCCTTCTCCGGCCCTGACCAGGTCATTCTCCGTATCTCTACGCCGGGCCGAGATCAACAAGGTCTTCCCCTCTGCTTCAGCAGCCTTGAAGGATATGAAGCCGAACTCAACCCTGCTCTGTGGTGGATTTGGGCTTTGTGGTGTCCCCGATACCCTCATTGACGAGGTTCTCGAAAAGCCTGAAATCACTGGTCTCACAGCTGTTTCCAACAATGCCGGTACAGACAACTCCGGCCTCGGCAAGCTCCTCAAGACCAAGCAGGTCAAGAAGATGGTTGCTAGCTACATTGGGGAGAACAAGACGTTCGAAACCATGTACCTGACCGGCGAGGTTGAGCTGGAGCTCACTCCCCAGGGAACCTTGGCTGAGCGCTGCGCTGCTGGTGGCAAGGGCATTCCCGCCTTCTACACCCCTGCTGCTTTCGGAACCGTGGTTCAAACCGGCGACTTGCCGTTGAAAAACAAGGCCGACGGCACCCCAGATGAATACTCGTATCCCAAGGACGTCAAGGTGTTCAATGGCAAGTCGTATTTGCTAGAGCATGCCATTGATGGCGACTATGCCTTTGTCAAGGCCTACAAGGCAGACAAGCTCGGCAACTGCCAGTTCCGTCTTGCTGCTCACAACTTCAATGGCGCCATGGGCCGAAATGCCAAAATGACCATTGTCGAAGCCGAGCATATTGTTGAGCCTGGTGAGATCCCCCCCGAGGCCGTCCACCTGCCTGGCATCTACGTGAAGCGCGTTATTCAGAGTACTAGTGAGAAGAATATTGAAAAGTTCACTTTTGCCAAGGATGAAAGCGACGCCGATGCCAAGGCAGCGTTGGGAACCGGTGACACCGCCGCCAAACGTGAGCGCATTGTCAAGCGAGCAGCCAAGGAGTTCAAGAACGGCATGTACGCTAATTTGGGCATCGGCATGCCTATGCTAGCGCCGGGTTTCGTTGGTCCTGAGGTTGAAGTCCAACTTCAGTCTGAGAATGGTATCCTTGGCTTGGGTCCTTATCCCAAGAAGGGTGACGAGGATGCCGACTTGATCAATGCTGGCAAGGAGACGGTAACCCTCAACCGTGGTGCAGCTGTCTTCGGCAGCGAGGAAAGCTTTGGCATGATTCGCAGCGGAAGAATCAACCTCACTATTTTGGGAGCTATGCAAGTAAGCGGAACAGGTGACCTTGCCAACTGGATGCTGCCCGGCAAGGTCAAAGGGTTTGGCGGTGCCATGGATCTCGTCAGCAACCCCTCCAAGACCAAGGTAGTTGTGACAATGGAGCACACCGACAAGAAGGGCAACCCCAAGATAGTCAAGCAATGTGCATTCCCCTTGACTGGACGTGCATGCGTGTCACGAATCATTACTGAACTGGTGAGTCCTTTGAGTCCTGTTGACCGAGACAAGGTGCCGAAAAGCCGAGAGTGAAGCTAACAATTTGGTTTCCAGGGAGTTTTCGACGTTGATTTTGCACATGGCCTAAATCTTATCGAGATAGCTGATGGCGTGACGGTTGAAGAGATTAAGAGCAAGACCGAGGCACCTTTTACCGTGTCCAAGGATCTTAAGCCCATGTTGTAAATTCATGCATCGACATCGACTAAGAGAAAAGAGCGAGACGAATACTTTGGACGGTGGCTAAGAGAATACTTGTTTCTAGTTCCATGTCGGGTGGAATTGATTGAGCTTGTTTGATCTGGCTTTGACACTTGCTAGCGACATAATTGGGGCGTTTGGTTGGCTGTTGGCGCATGTCTTTGCCAAACCGGGATTTAGCAAAGATAAAGACAACATGAAATAAAATTGAAAAAAATTAAAAAAAGAATAAAAAATCAAGTAACCATGCATTCAAGCAAGAATCGTTGGGGTGTTTTGTCCTTGACTCTTGAAAGGTGTGTTGGTCTCTCTCTGGTACAAGCGCGACACGGGACTTTGGGTCAGCTATTTTAGCCGAGTCAGTGCTCAGTGTTCACCATGTGGGTGGGCAGAGGCTTACCGGAACATCTACGTTTGACTTTGACAGCAATTTTTACCTGCCCATTTGTCTTTTCTAATCTTTGGAGCTGCGAACCCCTACCGCATCATGTCGCAAGTGCCGTCACATTCCCGCCATGTTTGACAAGTCATCGGGCCAGGTCTACAGAGAATGGACGGTCCCGCGACAGAGCCTCACCGTCCATGGTGGCGACCGAGATTGGTCCCGTCGGCGACCGTATCCTTTATTCACTCCTCGAGGGACAAAAGGTCCCCGATCACTGATTGACATGGCAACTCATGTTATTGCCAACAATATTGGAGACGTGACGGAACGCCATCTAGACGCAATGCCTATCCGGCTACTTTGGCGCATCTGGCTGTTGCTCGAAGCAAGGTAAATGACCCTGGCAGCATGAATCTGGCAATGATGAGGTGTATTGTTTTTTTTTTCCTTACCTTGTTCATGGCGAGGCTGTGACGCTCTTGGCGAACTCGTTCGACAGCTAAATTCAATAAACGCCTAGGGGTGTTTGCCTGCATGCATGGAAACTGTTCTCCAAAATCTTGGTAGCAGACGATGAGGACAAGACTCTCGGAGTATATCGGTTCAGGCAACACATATGCCACCCGGCAGAAGAGCTCAAGATCTACACCCAGCCTTTGATATCCTCATCAACCGACTTCATTGCGCATCTGGTCATCAGCGGCGGCTGCCAGTTTACCACCCGTGAACTGCTTTGTCTCGCGAGTATGAAGAGTCTCGGGGTGTTGGAGCTCATCCAACCAGCTGACGAGGTGCGAGCTTCGTTCCCCGAGGTCAGCGATAGGCTCATACGTGGTTGGGCCGAGGTGGAAAATCCGTTCCCACTCCTGCGAGTATTGCGCCTCTGGAGGGACCAAGATGCTACGCAGGAGTCACTTCGCTGGGTGACGAAATTTCCATCATTGGCATTGTACGATGTCATGGCCTCTCGAGGCGACTGGCCAGATCCATCCGGTTCTGCTCTTGAGCATGGCTGGGAGATGGCCGGTTCCGCCAGCGGCACGGAAGACTCATTACTGCGATATCTGATGCTCTTTGCACCGCTTGAGCAGATTCGAAGTAGTCGCCTGAGAGATCTCGCGAGGAGAGTAGAGGCAGACTTGTCTTCTCTCTGCGGCGACTCTCGCTGTGCTGTAAAATTCGTCACAGACCGTCAAGCTCCGCCTTTATTGGACTACCTGACAGATACCGCAAAGGCTTACCTCCCTACCTGGGATATAGAAGCTTCTTTGAGAGACGTAGGGTCTTGCCACGGAATCACATTCGAGGCATGGGCCTTTTGGCTGTACGCCTTCATCGGCCAGCTGGGCGGAGACGAGGACTTGAGATCCCGTGGCGTTCAGTCCGATACTCAAGCTGTTGTCGGACCATTCATTTTGCCCTCAAAACCATTCGCCAGCTTATTTCTAGGGCACAACGGTCGTGGCGGTATCACCAACACTCCATCCTACGTCAGCCGAGGACTTTTTGCAACAAAGCGAATGACATTCACTCGGCCTCCCAACTTGCGAGGCCAAGAAGAACCCCGTTTACCACAGAAGATGTCGAGGAAGACAACAAACTTGGCGTGGGGTGAGCAAGTGGAACATTCATTGCGCAGTAAAAAGAGACAGAGACTGGATGATATTTTACAGTCGCTAAGTAAATAATACTCATGGAGTTTGGGACGCGGGTTTGACGAGGTGCGTATCTCAATCTAGCAACTTCTTCCAAGCATGGGTTGAGTTTTAGTGAACTCTAATCTCAACTTTAAGCTGTCAAAATAGAGTATTCCAAGTCGGTAGTTTGTCAGTTCTTGTGCGGAGTGCGCGGCCGTGGAAAACTAACAATGCAAGCTTGGCGCAAGCCTCCAGCGCCTGGCTTGAGCCAATTCTTCAAACCTGAATTCGTCCTGGGAAGCTATATAAAAGACGTAGCCACCCTTGCAAAAAAAATATGGTCATGTGTACCATTTTTCTTTTGTGTCTCAAAGACGCTTGGCCGTGTGCCTTATTGTCACCAATGTCAAAGTGTACGCGAATGCTTTATCCTCATTCAGTACAAGAACGCAACAAAGGACAAAGGATAAATATCATCACAGGCATAAAAATGAACTACTCGTCTAGGCCCAGGGCTCATGGTTCACATCCCAGATCAACGACGATGGATGAATCAAAGCAATGGATGGCACTTGCGAGATGTGTACGTGCAAATCTGTTATAAGAGGACTCGCTACCTGTACCAGGATTTTGTTTCTAACTACCCCGAGACAGATGCCCTCCAGAGAAGCTGGAAGAATCGAATCACCTTGTATTTCTTCTGGTATGAGGATACTTAAAATCCCTGACTTGGGATATTCCCGTCCCTTCTGTGGGAAGAAGGCACAAAATGGACTGCGCAGTCCGACTTCCAACCCTCAACCAAATTCGACTACGTCGCACTGCAAAGTCAATAAAGCCTCTCCGACTTGCTTATTTTCACGCCTTTCCAAGCCGAATGATGCTCCATCATCCATGTATCGCCAGGGTCATGTTAGGATTAGGCTTGTCGTCGCAGAGCCCTATGATCGTCTGTTTTCTCAGCTAGGGAACGACGAGCAGCCCAGTCCTACTCCGTCGGAGCAACTGTGGGAAAATGTCAATGCTAGGCGCCCATCCCGCAACGCCCCTGATACCCGGCCGCTGCAAGCACAACAGGAAGACGCTCAAATCGCGTCTGAGCAGTTCGAAGTCAACCGCCGCGCGGTTCTAGCTTCACGGGCTGGACAGGGGTTACTTGAGGGTATGAGCGGGAGCTCTATCTCGAGATGCACCCCTTTGGAAGCAGATTCATGCAGCTCTGGTGCTGGTCAAACTTGACAAGGCTCCAATCACAATGGTATACGTTTTGGCATGAGTAGACAAATTTATGGCGAGTCGCCGTTCAAGCCATCAGGTCGGTTGTGGTGAGAAGAGAGGGGACACAGGGAAGCTTAGAAGTCGTATATAAGTAGTATTGTGTTTGCGGCTCAGTTCATTTCACGCATATTGAAGAGCTACGAACAAGTTATAGTCAAGTTTTCTTTTCATTTTTTGTTTAACTACAAGGCTTGTGACCACGAATATTTGGTGCTGGCACTGTGCAACTACCAGGTACCTAGGTAGGTAGTATTGCTCCATTTCCCACGGCTAGTTAACTTGGCCCCGGCAAGGTTGTCTCTGACAAAAAAAAAAAAAAAAAAAAAAAAAAAAAAAAAAAAAAAAAAAAAAAAAAAAAAAAAAAAAAATAATGCCCATAGCGATGTGAGCCAAGGTTTGTAATTAATAGAGCGTTCAACGCAATATGGAAGGTATCAAGGCCTAAGGCTGCGGTGTGGATGAGTCAACTGAGTGTGACTAACGTCGATTGATGCTCTTGGCTTTCCCATCTGTGTGTGCAGCAGATTTTGATCATGGAGCAGAATAATAATAAACGCGCAGGCAACTCGTTCGCCAGCATATGGAGCTACGCATTTGACATGGTACATGAACAAATATTAGCGACCCGAGAGCCATTCGTACGAGAAAATGACTACGCCCCCGAAACTTCTCCGGGGTTGGTTGTGCAAATGCTTGTGCCGCCGGTTGAAATTTTTATCTGAGCCACGAGCACCGAAATGCATGCAGAACAAATGGTAAGATCGACGGTTAGGATCCCATCTTTCCTCCAGTTTCCCCTCCGGTGGCATTCATTGAAGTGAGTGAAAGCCAGAGTGAATATGAAGGATTGATATTTTCTAGTAGGTTGAAGAAGAGAAGAGGAGAAAAGTCCAAAGCTGCGCGGCGCAAGATATGGATGCGAAGTGGCTCCAGGGCCGGAAGAAAGATGAGCCTGTGCCGCATTTGGCCCATTTACGGTTTGTCCACAGAAGGGGCAGGATTGGGCGCCCATTGACAACCCAGATACAAAGCATTATTTATTACCTACACAATGGCAACACGCGAGGTTTGACTGGCTATGCACCCAGGCGACTTTTTGTTAGTGCGCGGGTGCTCCCGCGAACCTCCCCTGAGTCCCGTCGGTCGCCTCGATGACCTGGCCAGAAATGAATTATTAGGGGGCCAACCACGAATACAGGACAAGGAATGCCGATCTGTGTGTGCGCGTGTGTGTCACACAAGAGCTCCAAGTCGCCAAGTGCTTGCCCAAGATCCAAAGCATGGCAACTTGCCCATGTCAGGGGTCCTCAGCGTGGCAGGCATCAAGTGGCCATAGGTTTATTGTCAACACGTCAAGCTCAATTGAAAGATGCATGCGTGTGGCATGTGTGGTCGTGTGAGCACCAAACATTGAATTCCTGGCACACAACATAGACGGATCGGACACACCGGCTTCCCACCTTGTTGTCCCGAACCTTGACTCACAGTCTCACAATCTCACCATGATTCTGCACGCCTTGACTCACCACCCCTTTGGCCCGCCTCATTGTGATGAATCTGGGAGCTTTGTCTGCCTGCCAAGAAAACCCCTGTAGCACAAATCACATCCCCCTCCATTAAAGCAAACATCTTGGGACTTGGCTCACTGGGTTATCATCCATCTTCAAAGCGGTCGTCAACAGCAACGGCAACTCCGTTTACGTTTACCATCTTGCCTCTTCTGTTTGGTCAGCCAGACAGCACTTGAGCACAACTGCCCAAAAATCAACCCCGCTACCCCGCCTCGAGCGCCCACCGAAACATTTCTACTACCTTCTTCTGCCCATTGCATTGTGCAAATCGACACGTCCCTGCCGTTTCGGCCTGATATCCTCATCGTCTTGCTTTTTATTTCCTTCAAAAGGGTCGACGGTCATTCTCTGACCTCAACCCAAGGTAAATCCCTCGCTTCTCTCATTCTGTCTTCTTCTATATCTTTATCAATTTCTACCACACAACATGGCCGGAGGCTCAGTAGCTGGTCCTCGCGGTCGCGGTGGAAAATTCAACAAACCAACCAGAGGCGGTAAGTTTTTCAAAGCACGCGAACGTCAAGTCTTTTGCCCTGCGCAGGCTCAGGAGGCTTAGACTTGAACGTCTGGATCTGAACCCAGTTCTAACCCACATTTCTCCTACTTAGGTGGCAAACACTACTCTCGTTCACTACAGCCAGTCGACGCCGATGGCAACCAAGTCAGCATGTGGTCGGCCGGTGCCGCAGACGAACGTTCCGAAGATGACTCTGAGGAGGAGTCTAGTGAAGAGGAAAGCGATCATGCTGGCCCTTCAAAGGCTACAGCCGATGTCGAGAACCGCGACGACCGCAAGGCCCTGAAAAAGGCCCGTAAAGAGGCTGCCATTGCCAAGCAAAAGTCTCGTGCAGTCCAGGTGGGCGATATGCCCTCTAGCGACGACGAGAGCGACGACGGCATGCCCGCCAACCCGAACCACTCCAGGTCAGCCCGGAAACAAGCCAAGAGCAGCGATGTCGATGACATCACGGAGGGCGTCCAGAACATGAATGCCCCTGGGAACCGCAAGGAACGGGAAGCTGCCGAGGCCGCAGCAGCCAAGGAGAAGTATATGAAGTTGCAGGCAGAAGGTAAAACAGATCAAGCCAAGGCAGATCTTGCTCGTCTTAAACTCATTCGAGAGCAACGCGCAGCCGATGCTGCACGAAAACAGGTACGGAAACGCAAAAATTTTTCCGCATGACTTGGTCCGGGATATGTCGGGACCCTTTCTTACCTATGCTGACTCATTTCCGAAATAGGCTGAGAAGGAAGAGAAAGAAGAGCAAGAAAAGGCTCGAAAGGCAGAAATTGAGGCCAAAGAAGCCAAGAAGCGGGAGGCTGCCGCTGGTCCCAAAAAGGCCAGCAAGAGGAAATGAAATTTAGCCTCTCGCAATGGTTTATCTTGTAGCAGGCCTAAATACATGGACCGCGAATGGCCACTGGGCTGTGGGTCAATTATTTCACGTACGATCTCGCGAAATTGAAGCGGAAAAAAAAAATCACAATAAGCGGAATACGAAGCGCTTCACCATGTTGCTCGTATCGTTGTTTTGCATCATGTACTTATGTTGGCATGGAAATCGGTGCAGTTCGATTAGAGGCCCGTTGTGGCCTGGTATTTGGTCGATGCACATGTCTGATGGACCAGAGCCCATATGTATTCCATCAAGGACATAATTATACCTGCGTCACTGTCTTCTCTGGATTAGAGGCGTATTGTGTTTCCAAGAACGACCCAGTGCGTATGCTGGATGACATTTCCGTCATTTTTGTCACGTGCCCGGATAATTCCCAGGCGGAGAAACAGGGTTAGACCGTTATTGTAGTAAGCTGATGCTGGGGGAAAACAAGAAAAAAAGAAAAAAAAAGAAAGAAAGAAAGAAATTTTTCATTCGAGAATTAGTAAAAGATATTATTTCGCTATTATTTATCTCGCAATTCGCTATCCGGGCTGATTAGATCGAGGTGTGACAGTTCCCTCTACCATCGTGATGGATGATGCGCCTGCAAGTAGCATCCAAGTACCCCACATTTGTTTGTTGGACGAGACCTCTCGCACCAGGCCAGGGTCTCTCGGAACCTCTTCAAGTGGAGAGCAAGAAAAAAAAATCCCAGAGGCGCCAATCTGCCCACCGCCTTCACCAGTCGCCGCCGTTTACTACTTCCCATTGCTGTGGACGTGGGCAACACGTTTGAAAGGGACAAAGATATTTCCCAAAAAAGAAAAAAAATCTTTTTTTTTTTTCAAACATAGCTACTTATCGTTCACAAAAGAGTGTCTCGATATCCTTGAGGGCAGGGGCAGGTCAAGAATATTGACAGCAATGGAAGCATCGTCGCTGCAGGTTCGTTTTGGAGCCCTTTGCCCCGCTGCTGTTGCCCAGCACTTTCGTGAAATCTTTCGAGCTGACCAACATGTACAGGATCGCTTACGCGATTACTCAAAGTCTTTCGATGGCCTCTTGAGTCTAATCCCAGCGAAGATATACTATGGAGAAGATACAGCCGTATGTGAACCCCCCACGCCGGCGCTTTCTACGCCGGGTCAACCTAGCGACCAACCAAAACTCGCTACTTGCTCGTGAATGCTGTCCGCCTCTTCCATGCCTTAAATATCATATTGCTTCGTCGTCTTGAGGTCTGCAGCCAGTCCATTCTCTAATCAAACACTTTGCAGGATCAATGGAAGAGAAAGAAGCAGACAAAGAAAGAAGCCGCCGCCGCCCGAAGGGGAAAGCTGGATCCGGACAGCGAGCTGAACCGAAACGCCAAGGAAGTTATGGACGAGCGAGCCAAAAGCAAACGAAAACTGAGGCAGATGGAGGAGCAAGCCGACGAGGATAACGAGGCTGAGAACGAAAATGAAAACGAGAATGAAAGCGACTCGGATGGCGGCTCGTTTGAAGCGATTGATGGCATTGAGACTGAAAAGCCTGGCGAAGGGCTGAAAAGGAAACCCGAAGAGAGCAACAAGAGGCCGAAATTGTCCAAGGACGACGAGCACAAAAGGGACACCTTGGAAACAGCGGAAGGGACGCCCAAGCTGTCCAAGAAGGATGCAAAGCGAGATGCCAAGCGAGAAAAGAGGGCCGAGAAGAAAGCCGAGAAAAAGTCCTTGAAGCAGAACGCTGTCGAGACCTCCATTCAGAATGCTAATGCGACCGAGTCCACGGAACATAAGAACGAGGCGCAACCCGAAGGCCCATTGAGCAAGACCAAAGACGACGTTGTTGAAGTGGCTTCGAGATCCGAGTCCGAGCCGCAATCACCCACATTCGACACGACTGATCCGTCCAACTCATTGAACGATGCCTCGGCCGAGCAAGCCAGCACCACCACTTCTGTCTCCTCCACCATTCCTCCATCAGAAAAGCCCAAGCATATCAAGGTTCCTGCTGACACAACTGCGCTGCGAGCACGACTTGCTGCCAAAATCGAGGCGCTGAGAGCTGCCAGAAAGGCGGATGGTCCAGACGGCAAGCCTATTAGAACTCGACAGGAGCTCATCGAATCGAGACGGGCCAAGCAAGCGCAGCGAAAACAACGCAAACTGGAACTTCGGAAGCAGGCTAAGCTTGAAGAGGCAATGAAACGAGAAGAAGCTCTGGCTTCCAACTCGCCTAGTGTCATGAGTCCTGCGGTCGAGCTAGAGGAGGGTGCGGGTAGTTTTTCCTTTGGTCGGGTTGCGTTTGGAGATGGGTCGCAGATGTCGCACGATCTTAGCTATGTGCTGAGCCAGGGAAAGAAGAAGGGTCCATCTGATGCCAAGACGGCGCTGCTCAAGGTACAGAACCAAAAGAAGAGGTTGCAAGAATTGGACGCAGAAAAACAAGCCGACGTTGCCGAGAAGGAGGCTTGGTTGACGGCTCGACGCAGAGTCGAGGGTGAAAAGATCCGAGATGATGAGGCTATCCTAAAGAAGGCAGTGAAGCGTAAGGAAGCGGCCAAGAAGAAGAGCGAGAAGGCATGGACAGAGCGCACCAAGGGCGTGCAGCAGGCACAGAAAGAAAGACAAAAGAAGCGTGAAGAGAACATCAAGCAGCGCAGGGAAGAGAAGCTACTCGGCAAGGCTGGAAAAAAGAAGGGCGGCGCCAAGAAGAAGAAGGGCGGGCGACCCGGATTCGAAGGCAGCTTCGGAGTTGGTGGTCGTCGAAAGTAGGCCCAGGCGACAGATGTTTATGTCTAACACGTGGGCAGTCTTCGTCCACTTCTCTCCTGCTGCATTGTGCTCGAGTCACGTTGTTCTTGCGCGGCAAGGCGATTTGTCTTTTTTTTCCCCTTCTGTTACCGGCGTTGGCGTTGGCACATGCCGTGTCTAGGACTCATCAAAATCCAGCATTGTTGTCGGTTTACACGGTTGGAGTTGGTGAATGGGCGAGGAAGAATAACCAGCGAAGCGATCTCGAGATGAGGTACGGGATGTTGCAGCTAGTGTTTGTCAATCGTATGTTGATTGTTTCTGCATGACGAGGCGACGGCCGGGAAGTATGTTGTAGTTGTTCAGCAATCATTTTATTCCTTGACCTCGAGGATTTTTATAAATCCGTCATACATTCTATCGGTGTACTTGTTCAGTCTTATTCAAGCATCGCCAACATTCCCATGACAAGCCAGACTCCCGTAAATAGCAAACGAAAAATGACTTGATTGACTCGACTCTAGATATGTAGAACTTGAGCTCGTCTTTTCTTGGTCTTTTGCATCCATCCACTCTACATTCCCCCCTTGCCAATGGACGTATGCGTTTCCCACAAACCACACACACACATGCAACAATTGGAACAAGCACTCGAACCAAACTACCCAGGTGCTTGTACTTGGGCACTGTACTTTCTTCTGCACACGTCGTTTTCTGGTGAACCCTGCCAATGCCCCCGAATATGACTTCCCCTGCGACAAGCAAAAAAAAGTACAAAATGAAAAAGAAGGCAAATAAAAGGAGAGACGAAGATGAAACGGGTAAAATTTGGCATATAATTAAACAATCCATCGAATTTTCCTTTTTTTTCAAAAAAAGAAACAAACAAGGCTTCTTCCCTCATATTCACCTCGACCTTTTTTGAACACTTTCCATTTCAAGTTTTTGTACTTCTCTCCAATACTCTAGTCGTGCCTAGCCCATCTTGCCTGCGACAGGGTCCTTTCAGCCTAGAGATGTCGGAGATGGACGCAGGTTGGTAACAAACCCTGCCGTGAAAGGTGAATGAATGTTCGAACTGGAGACGATGCGGTGGAGGCATTCCCCTCCCTCCCCCAAAAAATGGCGATTAGTTCTGTAGGTGAGAAGTGCAGAAGCAGTTCGATTCGAGGACGGTATCCGGTTGGCCATGGAGGAGCTGTAGGCTCAGTCGGTGTAGCAAACAGGGCCGCCCGAGTTATAAAGGGCGATATTTTGCTTCACGATACATTGACGCCATGCGGGTTTGTGTTGGGTGGATTATAGGAGAGAGTCGAGGCGAGTAAAGACGCTCAGACAGGCGGCAACGACTTCCAACTGCAGCTCCTTGTCTTTGGCCTTGCTAATTTCCTGTGCACATTGTCAGTCTCTCAACGCCCCTTACTCTTAAAGGGACTCCCGTTGGATTTGAGAGTGGCGCAGTACTTCATCCTCGAGCCAACGCCCGCGTCTGGGGGGGGAAATCAACGCTTACCTCTGAAATGGCCTGTGGCAAGTTGGCACCGATGCCGTTGCTAGTAGCCTTCTTTCCAAATGGCCATTGGCTATAGTCTGCCAGCAGCTCGTCTGTCTGAGCAAAAGCTCTCTCGCGGGCCTCGTGACCAAGGGTTGACAGAGCATTCTCCAAGACATTGGCGGCATATGCGGCGCAGACCATGCACACGGTCCGGAGGTATCTGAACTCGAGGTTCTCAGGTAGGAACTGGTTGCCGCCGAGGACAACGGTTCTTTGTGTGAGCACGTTGCGGACTCTGCGGCGCAACTCTTCCTTGGCTCCGCCATCGGCAACGGGATGAGTGGCCATGTCGAATAAGAGGAAGTTGCGCTTCTCGGTTCGGAGGATGCCTTTGTCTACGAGGCCCTTGGCTAATCGTTCACGAACTTGCTTCAATTGATAGCCAATCTTCATCAGGTTCCATGTCTCGCCTTGGAACCGGCAAAAGTTAGCATTGCATGGGCGCGATGCAGTTTTCGAATCCTCAAGGCCAGGGGCAAAGGGCGTAGTGAGCCGGCGGACTTACCGCTCATCAAATCAATCCAGGAGCTAACGCTCATCTTCTCGCTCTGCTTCATCATTTTGAGAGCCTCGTCGAGCAAGACTTCTCCGGTCAATGTATCATCTATGACTTCGATATTTCGATCGGCCGGGGGAAATCGCCGTCGGGAAGGGTCCTTTTCCATGCTGATGCGACCACGGAA